AACGTAACTTTATGGCCATGTGAGATAACACACGCCTTCGCTGACGAGGGGATATCCCCTTAGGAAATTTCACTGGCCTTCCGAACGCCTTCGCGTCATCTTGGTATTGCGCGACATATACGTCTGACATTTCCCACATTTGCGTCTCTTCACGTAACATTTTATGTAGTAATCATTCCCGGGATGATTTCTTTGCCTTGATTCCTATACGAAACTCTGATGATTTTCTTTTTCTTTTTTCTTTTTTTTTTTAATGTACACACGCGAAAGCGTAAAAAACAAGAAAAAAAGAAAAAAAATTATTACCTTTGAATCGATCGGAAGATTCCTTTGTGTTCCGACTCGGTGTGTAGGCATGTGCGTATGTATAAAAATTTTTAATTAATTCCAACGAAATCTCAAATGCATTAGGTAACATCTTTTTAAAGAATAATTAGACAGAGGAAGGAAGAGAGAACGTTATAGTCGCATCGCGTATAAATATAGCCGTGATCCATTTCCACGCATCGTTGCTTCCCCTTCGTGTACGTATACTTAGGCTTTTTCTCTCTCTTCTTTTTACTACTTATGTACTTAAGTACCTGTATAAGATGTGCGCAAAACTGAAAGCACATACTCACAAAGTCACCGAGTTATTGTATTATTGCGCGATATCGCGTGTATTTTTCAATTAGAGTAAAGTAACAAAGGTGTAGATTTGATCTCCGACACGCGCGTTAATCACCACCTCGTCCACGGACTAATTTTTTTTTCCTTTTCGAGTCAAAGTATAGCCGATCGCCAATGCGCTCTCGTGTTTATTCTCATCGAGGCACGGTACACGCGNATATTACAATTTGTATGATGGTTTAGGCAAACGTTATAAATCAATTGTCAGCGTGTGGCCTTGCAGTAGCATCGCTTGACTAAAACTCGAGCGTGTGCCCAATGTGGATACGTATCGAGACAAAGCCTATTGATATTTAACGCGTCTAATACGCAAATAAGTGAAGAGCAACTTCATAAATGAAAAAATAAAAAAAACTTCGATTATGAGTATCGCTTCCAGGAAAAAATAAAAAAAATTTGCACACTTTGATCCCAAAACTGTAGAATTGGAAAAAAAAAAAAAAAATAGTTTAACGTATAAACACTTTCTTTCCCGCATGAAAAAAATCAGATTGTCGTAATTCTGAATAGTATAATTTTGTCCGGAATCTGCGCGAAAAAGGAAAAAAAAAGTGTGTCACACGCCTTACTCGTACCGCGCTCCCCAATTTTTTCATCCCCCCCCCCCCGTACATTATATACATAAGGCACCTGAAAGATAAAAATTGCCGAACATGCGCGTGCCCATCCTCGCTGCTCAATTGAATAAAAGGAGTTTGGTCCAATGTGGAATCGCTCGTGTAACCCGCACCCGTACTTACACACGCGCGCGTGTCGAAAGTCGTGGTGCAGGCCAATGGGCTGCCGAGCCTCGAAAAATTCAAACTTGGAAATCCCAGCAAGTCCGGTTTTGTCATCCGCTCACACGCACGCTTGTAGTATATATATACACCAGCGTGCTCCTCAAGATCAAGGCTTCTCTCACGCATCTATATATATACAGGGGCCTCCGGGGAATATGCTCGCCACAGCATGTATGTATATATGATATACCTACGTTTACCACACGCCCGAGTATAAAATCCACTTCATCGAGGATTCCCATCGGTGAATCCCTTTCCACCTCGGATGTGTTCACACCACGGCGTACCACATATGTATACACGTTGATGACCATCACCAGGAGCGTCGGCAGCGGTGGTGGGTTTTTTTTTTTTTTTTTTTTTTTTTTTTTAATTCGCATTTTCAAGATTCTCGAGTCATCTCTCCCATCATCCTCTACGCATATTATGTTACACCTTTTATACGCTATGTGGCAGACTATATAGCTCAATCTTTTGTACCACAAGTATACAGGTATAGGTGTAACGACATGTATATCAATATACCCAAGCGCGCCCGTTCTTTATTCCAATCATTATCGCGTCCAACAATGTATGCAGCGGCGATCGAGTGACGTCCAATGATTTTTCTTTTTTTGTTTTCCCCTATATCTGCGGTGGCTCTCATCGACGGAAAAACCGCAATTCTAATACGCGGGGGATGTATATATATATATATATATATGGGCGCGCAGCCTTGTGATGTCGGCCGCCATACAGGAGGCTGCACGCATAATATACCTAATCTGCCGCGTGTGTGTGACTCATTGTGCATTATATAGACACGACGACACGCGACATTTACGTATGTAAGTATATGTGTGCGACTGAAAACGCGCAAAGAACAATGCCGTTCGCTCGCGCCGTAAAGGCCAGTCACCTATGCGTGCTCTGCAGCTACGTGTCACACCCACACAACCCCTCTGGGCGACCCTCCCCGAGCTTTTTCTTTTTCTCAATTTTGCAAGGCGGATAAGTGCACCAATGACTATATTGTTTTATACAATCCCATGTACGTGTGTGTGTGCATACACTCATTATGATTACATTCCTCGGACAAGCACCACGAGACGAGCCCTTGTGGGTATGAGTGATGGTTTTTCTCCATCTGCAAGTTACATGAATTTGCCGTATAATGATACGATATACCTGTACTGCAGCCCATTGCTGTCATTTTATAGTAATGGGGCTCCGGGGAAAAAAAAATAGAAAAGCCAGAGGCAAAGGCGGGGGGGGGGTGTACAGACGCGGAAAAAAACAGAGATCGGGGGATGCTCGCGCAGACAGCGGATAAACGGTGGGTATATAATATGTATATACATGTGTAGACCGGAGCGCGGAGAACCAGTCCGGGGTCCAGGGGACCTTGAAAGCCAACGGGCTCGTTGGCGCGTTGTACGTGATGGCTCTCGCGAAAAACTGCACGCATCCGATGTATGCAACACATGGGTGTAGATATATACATATACATATATATATACCGGGAGACTGCAGCTGAAAGAGTGAAAGGATGTATTATACGCGATATATTGCATACCTGTCCGTCTGGCTATTGGATCCTGCGGTGTACCGGTTCATTGTTTTATTATAAGAGGTAATAATACATTATGCCGGTCCCTAGTATCAGTAGCTGAACATAGGGTGCTTGCAACACGATATTGTGTATACACGTTACAGATAAGCTTGTTAACGGCGAGCGGGTCTCTTTTGTTTCGATTTTTACGAGCCCCGAATTTTTTTCTTTCCACCTACCCCGTATCTGGTATAGCGGCTAATATGATCAAACGCGATTAAATTTTTTTTCTTATCGGCCACAAATGCCGTAGGTGGATATTTATTTGCCGGTTTATCTTGACTTTTTACCGTTACAATGTTACATCCATGTATACCTGTACAAGTATACTCGATACAAAGTCCGATACGAAAATTTTACTCTCTCTTGCAAAAAGTACATTTCGTTTGAGGGTGTTTCGAGTGCTTAATCGACTTTTTAGACTGACTCGAGTAATTTTTTTTTTTTTTTTTTTTTCGATCGGTATCCAAAATTTTGCGTTTGTGTATATACTTGCCGATGATGGTGGATTTATTTTTGTACTTTATGACCATAAATAAAGCATAAAAAAACTTGACGCTTTATCTCGTTCCAAGGAGATTTACTTGTACCGTAAAGTTAATTACGACTGTTTTTCGTTTGTTTCCTCGTTCAGCAAACAGCACTCGATCAAGTGTTACAATTTTTTCACGAATCTTGTACAGGTTTTCACGTATAGTTTCTTGCGCCAAAAAAAAAAAAAAAAAAAATTATACAAAAACTCGAGCCTCGTCCATCTTCGTAGCGCAAACATTGAGATGTCAACCTAAAAATACAACGGCCAAGCAAAAGCTTATCACTATTGTAATTCGAAAGCGCAAACAAAGTTCATCGTTCGGAAATAAAGTATAGTGTAAAGAAAAAAAAAGAGAGATATCTTTGCCTCAAATCTCCAAAGGCTTCAACAGTAAAGCGAAAAACAAGAAAGAAAACAATTTCGGTATTTGAGTGTATATGTATACATGTTCGCGATAACAATATTCATCAATTTTTTTTTCCCATCCCGAAAAATGTCAAATAAATTTCCTTCGAACACACCGCGCGCCACTTTATTACCCCTCACACTTGGGCACGCCTGTATTTGTTTATTTACCCAAATTTTTTGTTATTGTTGTTGTTGTTTGGCAAAAACAAAATAAAAAACCGTGCGAGTATTTTTCCCCTATTTTTTTTTTTACCAAAAAATGTAAAACGATGTCGATGATGAGGGAAAAAAAAGTCCATCAAGTTGGCGGATCTTGTGCGCAAGTAAGTAACGCTGGGTGTTGTTTTTCTCCGAGACGAGAGCAAAAGGGCCCATCGGCGCCCTCCTCCCTTGCACGAAGGAACGCAGCCACGTTAGTGACGCACGCAGTCGCATTGAGCGGAGGGGAAAAAAAAAAAAAGCGCGAATCGCCGTGGCGGATCTGCTACACGGCAACGCGCCTACTACGTCACATTTCTCAGATCTCGATCAATGAGCGAAAGACGCGCGTTACAAGATCAAGGTCTCCTCTCGCGTATACGTATACCTACACATGATGGGTATACCTGTACCCTCTCCGATGCTGGGAGGGAAAGTCACGTATATATGTATAGGATGTATACGTATCGATACATTGTTCGCAGCACATGTGCCGACGTGCTCGCGTCTTTACTTACGCGTATCTATACGTACATCTTCTAGTTTTCCTACGGAAAAAGGCTTCTTTGTTCCGTATAGATACGGTCCAGCAGCATCCATTGTTTTAATGTCATAAATATTACTTTTTTATTTTTTTATTTTTATGGTCAAAAGGCCTAACAAGATCGAGCCTTTCAAAGGGAGCATCCGGTCGGTCGAATTTAAGTAAGAATGAAAATTTCCAAGGGTAAGACAATAGACAAACTCGTATACAAAGAGAGAGAAAAAAAAAAAAAAAAAAAAATGGCACGAGGTAACGGACAAACGTTGTCTGTAGGTGAACAAGATGCAGTGGTGGTCTCACGTTGTGACCAGCGACCCCGAGATTAGTACGAAAAAGGTCAATCCAGAGCCGAGCAAACTCTCCGATTTGGACGGTGAGACGCGAGGTCTCGTTGAAAAAATGATGTACGACCAACGACAGAAGGAGCTCGGTTTGCCGACGTCCGAAGAACAAAAGAAACAGGATGTCATCAAAAAGTGAGTTCTGTTCGACACCCTATCCGATCCATCGCATCGGTAGTGTACAAAATGCATTCAACGTTGCTGGTTTTATTTTCAGGTTCATGGAACAGCATCCGGAAATGGATTTTTCAAAGTGCAAATTCAATTGAACATCAAAAATCTTCATTTAAACTTGTTCGTTTCGAAAAATTTTCACTTTTTTTACGTTTTTCTTTTTATACATGTTTTTGCATCAAACTTCATTTTATTGTATTCAATGTCTGACGTCAAGTTTCAAAAGGACATTATTCCTTACAGTAAGTAATGCAAATAAAAGTTTTTACAATTTTTCATAGCTCTCGCTGCTTCAGTCTTCTGCTCGAACAGCTTTTTTTTTATATTTTTTTGTTAAATACATGTAATATTGTTAGCGTGATTTCATAATAAAATTAATCTCACACATTTCAGCTTACGCTCACTTCCAAGCTGTTATTTATTTTGAAAAATCTCATACAAAAAATAGTTAATGTTTTTTTCCACCTTGTTAAACTAGCGAGACCGTTGTACAGGAAAAATTGGTCCAGTATACATGGTTTTACGAAAATCTAAAAGGCAACTCTTTACATGCTAGTCAACTTTTTCGATGGCATTACGATTTGTTCGATAGTAAAAAATAAATTAATATTTATAAATTACTGACTTCTCTACAGAGACAAACACATATTATTAAACACTGTAACTAATTCACTAACTCTTGCACATTAATAATTAAGTAAATTTGAACTATCGAACCGTGTAGGCATCTGTTTGCTTAATAGTTTTGACTATCCAATTAACGTAATTGGATAGACGCGCATAAATTCCGTACTTGCCGCGTTTACCACAGCCTTCACCGAAACTAGTAATCCCAAAGACTGTCCAAGGATGATCTGTTTTTTCCGGATCCTTGCAAAGAAGAGGACCTCCACTGTCACCTGAAATGAAGGTAATTGATTAAATTTGCAAGAGTTAGGATGGCAATTAGATTCATTATGTTCGATAAATCATACTGTACCTGCACACGAATCCATTCTTCCTCGCCGATAACCGGCACAAAACATGTTACTCGTAATTTTGTAGTCAACGTACACATTTCTACACATCTCATCCGAGACTATTGGTATCTGAAAATTTTCGATTCAATTGAATAGTTGGATATCACAAGTTTTTTTTTTTTTTTTTAATTGACGCAATTCGCATACCCTCGCTTCGTGGAGAACGTCGGTACCAAATTCATGTGACGTGTTTGACTTGCCCCAGCCGATAATCGTGCAAAGCTGATCGGAGGGCAAATCTTGCCAAGCAGTTGGCAAACACGCGATACCTCTTGTATCCGACGGCGTCAGCGTCACCGGTAAACGTAGTAGAGCAATATCGTTATCCACAGTATGTGCATTGTACTTTGGATGAGTAATCGAATAGTCGACCTAGCAGTAAAAAAAAAAAAAAAAAATGATGTGGGTTTTAACCGATCGACCTACAAAATGTACAATCACAAGCCAATAGCGAGAGAAACGTACCTTCAATTCAATTTCAGAGCCCTCTATCACCGAGAGGTTGTACTCCCCGATGCGAACGGAAAGTCTTTTGCGAACACTTTGATTTTTTCAATTTTTTATTGTAACAAAAATTTTTTTTCAACATCATTTGTAAATTATTGATGAAAGAAAGAAAGAAAAAACAATTTACCAGTGAGCGGCAGTCAAAACCCAGCGCGGAGAAACCAAGGTACCACCGCAAAAAGCCTCCTGAGAACCAGCAACCGTAGATTTAATAAGTACATGTCGTGTGTGAAAAAAAAATTAAAACGATAAAATCGAGAAAGTGGCTTACTCCGTATCGATTCAAGACTGCAACTTGCCAAGGCCAGCTGCCGGGTGCCGTGGGACGGCCACCAATGATCCTCGTTAAGTAAGCCAGTCCCGAATTTTTCCTCGACACCCCGCACTTCCAGTTATTTTCTTCTTTGGTGGTCGAATTTTCTATCCCATTCAAGCTTAGATCGTAACGATCTACCGACAAATTCAATAAACAAATACTTGCGATTTACGCTCCGGTGGATAAATAAACAAACAAAAAATCCCCTGGGACTCACCGCCACTCGCGTCCTCGTAATTATTGCGAATTATCCTACTGATCCATTTTTGACAGTAACTCCCCTCGACGTAACAGTAGGCGCTTTGGCGAATGACTTCCTTCCAGCAAAAGCCGGGCATCCTGCACCACCTGCGTAAATCGCACAACCGTTACGGACACACTGTATACGTAATGAAAAATGTTGCCACGGAAATAATAATAGAAACGGTGAAAATGTCACCTGCGTCGGTGGGTGGTGCAAGACTTGGTGCACTCTGACCATTTGCTCCATTTTCCGTAGTGGCCGCCGAACCAGCCGCCCACGGTCTCGTCCTCGTCTTTACCCCGTCCGTGGCGTGGTCTCGCTTTTTCAGGTACCTGTGCATTGTATACGTCCGTTAGCTTGGGAGTAAATAAATAAATAAATAAATAAAAAAAATATGCACGTAGAGTCACCTGTACAATGTGAAATCGGTGAGCTTTTCGACGAGCCGCCCTCTGCTGGTACTGCTGGTTGCAGTTTCTCGATCTGCGGCGTCGCGCGCTCCCCTCGTGAACGCAGGGTCTCTCATCCTACGGACATTTATCAAAGCAAGCCGTGAGAGAGATGAAAAAAAAAAAAAAAAAAAAAAAAATGGCACGAGCTTTTCTCGGACGACTTACTCGTATCACCGCGTTTCCGCATTTGTTTTTCGCTTTGCACCTTCGCACGCGATTTTGCGTGCAGTACTTGTTGTCGCAGACCGACCACTTGCTCCACTCGCTGAATACTGTTTCTAGTGACGATGATGATTCTGCAGCGTTATAATATAATCGTGTCGTTAGCAGAAAAAAAAAAAAAAAAAACATGATCAATAAAATACTGCATCGATCCGAATGATTCGACAACGGCAATTATTTTTATCCGTGCCATTTTTTGTCCCCCTCATCCTTCTCGTTAACGAATAATCGGAAAACTCCGATGCTAAGCAGTTTTTTCTCCGCATGCAATGAAAAAGAAGAAAAGAAAAAAAAATAGCGTCTGTATCTTACTTGTGCTTTGGCTTTCATGGCGAGGCCTTTGGTTCGGGTAGACTCGATCATTGAAGGCAGCCACTGCCGTCCGACCGGGATTCTGCAACGAAAGTAGCGATCAGTTCCAAAAGAAAAATAATCCTTCGATCGATACACGATTATACAGGCTGTCAACGATTTTAAATTCGAACGACCGACGGCAAAACAAATCAATTGACCGGTGCGCGCTAATGACAACCGCACGGGTCTCGGGATCGCTAAACAGGTGCGTCGAGCCGAGCGCGCGTAAGACGACCCGATCGACCCAACGCGTATTGCAATTCAACGCTGCGGAGTATTTTATCAGTACTTTTCTTTTTCCTTTTTTTTTTTTTTTTTTTTTTTTTTTTTTTCGTCTGATCCCCCCCTTTCTCATTGTTATCAGCAAAGAGCCGACATTCCAATTGGACTCGCGTTTGTATATGAATATAAAACTGTGACGCGTAAACGTATATACGAAGGTATCCGGTTGCCGTTCAATTTACGTGCGAGTATCCGACGCTCCGAAACGTATGATAAATGCGAGCGTATAAATATGCGTATGAAACAAAACGAGCGCAATTAGCAAAATTGATGCAATTCGTTTGCACCAACAGAAAAAGGAGAGGAGGGGGAGGGAGAGAGTTTCGTGTACGCATTGTTGATACGCGGCGGGATGATTTCGTTGGTTTTGCGCGCAGATTCGGCGGCGCGTGTATATAAATATCATTTGCAGAGGGAGAAGGAGATCATCCGCGAGTAGTGTGAGAAACGGAAGCTGAAAGCAGTTAAAGACGAGGCCGAAGGAGGAGGAGGAGGAGGAGGAGGAGGAAAAAAATAAAAGGGAACGAAAGGGAACCCCGGCAGTCAGAGAGATACCGCCGCTGTGTACCTACTCTCTGCTAAGTGTATGACTGTATATACCATATTAAATCGGTATAGGTATAATATATGTGTATGGGTATATATACCACTTGCAGGGAACCGGGGATAGGTATATACGTGCCGCAGGAAGCTATGGGAGCCGATGACGCTCGAGTCGGGAGAATTTAGCGCTCTCCTCCTCTCGATCTCCTTTTCTTTGTGTCCTACAGTAGTTTTTCTCATCTCCCGATTATACATATATATTACACGCACATTGTATACCGGCCATGTACGATATGATTTTACCTTTCTGCGTTTGTTCACGTTAAATGGGTATGGTAACGCCGCAGGATATTGACCCTATACGAATACGAATAATGGCCCTGTACGCGTGTGTCTCAATGAAGGAACGTTCCACGAAAACAACAACAAAAGAGAGGCGTAAAAGGATATGCACTTGCGAGGGAGGAAAAAAAAAAAAAAAAGAAAAAGAAGAAGAGTAAACGATGACGAAAGATTGGTAAAAACAAAAAAACAAAAAAACAAAAAAAAAACTTTGACGGTTGAGGAAAAAAAGTTGTAAAACAATAGACTCACCGTTGCGGGAATGGGGGGTGGCCTGGACCACTCGGCGCTTAAGCCGAGAGCGAGGAGTCGGAGCAGGAGGAGGACGCCGAGCATCATCCTCGCTGGTGCGGGCTGGACCCGCGCCTCATGCTGCCCACCCGTTGCATTAAATGTACATCAAATACGTGTATGCGCACCACCTCCGCAACCCGCTAATATATATAATTATATCGTGTGTACTTGTGCGTGCGTGCGATGAGTGGACCCACGTGCCGATGTACGACGAGACCGGAGCTCATCAGCCCGAGCCGCCACTCTGCCAGAGCACTAATAAGCGATGCAGCGGCCGATCTCTCTTTCACTCCTCTCTCTCTGTTTCAGCTCATTCTCCAGATGAATATCTCTCCCGCTATACACTCCCTCTCTGAGATGCTTGCATGTGTAGGTATATATGCACTACTATATACACCTTTTATTTTTCGCTCTTTCGGAGTCCCCGTCTGATGTCCCGTCGTCGAGCCGACCCGGCCCCTCTTGTACCATATATACCGATGTGCCTCTCTGCGGTCGTCTATAAATACCAGTCTATATTGTCTCTCTCTCTCTCTCTCTCTCTCTCTCCCTCGTCGTCTTCCTCCTTTCCTCTCTCTGTAGCGGCTATCTCTTAATGTGCGTAATACACCCTCCTCCCCCGGTACCCACATACTTTTTTTTTTTTTTTTGTGCCCCTCCTTTTGACTCTGCTCCCAGAAACGCACTCCAAAAGGCACGCTTTTCCGCGTATTTATCGCGCCCGAAAATCTCTCCCTCGAGAGAGGCTCCTCATCCGCTCTCTTTCTCTCCCAAAGAGAGAGCTTTGTTGTATACACGTGTATATAGGCATGTCTTCTTCTTGCGCACCGTGTCCTCTCTCTGTCCTCCAATGATGACTGTGTACCCATTATAAACATAAATATACCTATGTAGGATATTGCATGGAGGTATATATATGTGTACCTAAAAGTGTCCTGCTGCGTGTGCGGCTCGAACCCTCCCGGGCGATCGTTAACCGATTTCGGAGCAATGCCTTTAAGGACCCTTCACTCAAGTGTGTGTATATATATACATGTACACGGGTAAGTCGCCTCGGTTGAATCATCGTTAACTTATTGTGCGGTTCATTTTTTTTTTTTTTTTCCATTTTGTCGCTCTAACAATAATACAATACATTTTGACTCATTTGTTGCACCTGTTACAATGTGTTTTCATACGCAGGGAAACAGATTTACATATTACATGTGCTCGCTGTACGTATAATTAATTACGGAGGGGAAAAAAAAAAAACATCGTTTGAAATCGTTTAGCTACACCACACAGAGACTTTCTCACTAATTTCTTGTTTGAAACATTTTCAATGTTAAATGCACCCGTGACAAAAGTATACAAGAGAGAGAGAGAGCGTTTGACGTCTATCGTGTTTTCTAACTAGCTGGTGTGTTCTCTTCCACCCAAGAAAAAGTTTGCTAAATTTTCAAGGCAACATTGACTATGCCGTGTGTGCTAATTCGTATTAATTTTATTAAAAGTCACAAGAGGTAAGCAAAAACTCGCTCCAAACGTGTTGTCTATACAATTCACATCTTTCTCGCATACTTATACATAACAATAGTGTCAAAGGATGCAAGTGATTGCTATATAATTTTACTTTACTACCTCTTGGGTATTCATTTTTTTTGTCATTTTCAGTGATTAAAAAAAAAAAAAAAAAGATAATAATAATGATAATGAAAATAATTCTAATAATAATGATAATGTATACGATTACTATAATAATAATGATAATGATGGTAATAAGGATTCTGCAGATAAATATAATGATAATTATAATGATGAGGATGATAACGATGACAATCATAATAAGAATGATGACGATTCTGACTAAAATTGTAATGATTCTGATGTTGATAATAAAAATGATATTAATATCAACAATAATGATGATAAGCATGATGACAAAGATGATGATAACATAAATAATGATGATAGTTATAAAAGTGATGATCATAACAATGGCGATAATGATGACAATGATGACGACATTTACCATAATGTCATTGATAATATTAATAGTAATTATGATAAAGTTAACTATGATAAGAATGATGATAATAATGATATTAATAATAATAATAATAATAAAAATAATAATAATAATAATAATACTTATGATAATAATGATGATGACAGCAATAATAATTGTAAAAATGATGACGATGACGATAATAATTATGATGACGATGACATCGTTTATGACGACAACAACGAGGATTCTAATAACATATATGACTATGATAATAATTACGATGACGATAAAGAAAATAATGGTAANTTTGATATTTGGAAGTAATAAATATTTTAGTGAAGATTGATATAATATATAGATTTATATTTTAAGATCTCCTTTGTACATATGCTCGATTTTTGTATCCCCTTGATTTCGAATGTATCCCATGTTAATCGACTTTGTTACATATGCGTAGTGAGACCCACGAGAGATTTTATTATTAATGTTTTTTTTTTTTTTTTTTCTTACTTTCTGTAATAGCGTTACACACTGTTGGAATAGATTTTGTTCATCGAGTGGCGCGAAATTTCGAAACGTTCCAGAAAACGCAAGTCCCACTTAAATACTCCACATAGTTCTCTCTGATTAACTTGCGTTGTAGTATTTCCCTGGTCCACGCACACAAGCTGTTTAGGATGACGAAAGCTCGACCGTATTTTGATTGTTGTTGCGAGAAGTAAAAATGTCCAAATGAAAATTAAAACCTTGTTTACAACTTGATGCGACGAACGCGTCCGCATAGTGTTGGTTAAAGTGCTCTTTGGTAAGTCTTGTGTGTAATCCTAGGCACTTGGAGGGGCGACAGCATATATATTATATATATATAGAGAGAGAGAGAGAGAGAGAAATAAAAGGAATAGGAAGATTACAATGTTATTTAAAATGTTAAACGAACGAACGAATCATTACTTAGCACCAGAAAAAAATGTAGTTGATTCTAATAATGTAAATTGAACCATCTTTTCCAATAAAGATTTTAAAGAAATCAAAACACGATTTTTTTTTACTGGAGTTAAGATTTTTTCCTCACCTTGCCTGAACAGTTTTAATATTTTTGATAAGTATTTGTTTATCCACCAAAAAAAACGTCGTAATTTACTATACCTATTGAAACATAATGGCGTCTTATGCAGCTGACACCGCTTGGAATTTGGTTGGCTGACTATATCGCTTTGTTACTACTGCACGTACAGAGTAATTCATCTCCTTTGAGCTTGCATCATTCAATAACATGAAGTAACAGTTATATTAATGTTGATGAGTAAAATGAAAGAAACTTTATTCTATTGCATTCATTTTTTATAGATTATTCAAGTTTTTTTTTTTTATCATTAGGAATTATGAAGCACTTTGTTAAAAGCATTATAAGACGCTTCCAAGTCAAATATGAGCTGCCTAACTTGAGTATCGGACAGTTCATCGGATGCTGACATATTATTCAGCGTCTGAAGCCACTCTGCAACTTTCTGCTTTCCATCAAAGTCACTTGGTAATATGCTCAGTCTGTTCATGGTATCCATTAAATCTCTGAGATCTGGATGTAGCTGATCCATTGCTTTGATTTCTAATCGCAATTTATCCATAATCGTTATGAATAAGGAAACAATGTCGGCAATGCACTTTGACGTATTACCCTTATCATCTTTTATAGTTATAGGTCTGTCTTCTTTGATTCTTTCCAATGCTGCTGGACAGTCTAATCGAAATGCTCTTGCAAAGGCATCAATAGTAGGGTACTGGTCGCTCTGAACCTTATGTATATAAAAAAAAAAAAAAGGATCATTCGGTGCACAAGAAAATTCAACAAACTACATATTATTCGTACCAAGATAAAGTAACGCTACCATAAAAAAAAAAAAAAAAAATTACCTGTTTGAATGCTGCTCTGTACTGCACCAACAATTTACTGCATGCTGCAGTGTATTCTTTGGGTGTAACGCAATCTCTGATGTATGCTTTTTCCAAATGTTGCAAGGTATTTACAACAGCATACAAGTCAGCTTGATTGTCATACTTTTCACGCTCTCTAGCATTTTTGTATAACTTTACTTCTTCATAAAGTTCAGGGCGATCCTGTGGGGCTGACATTGTCTACAAATAACAGAAAGTTGTTTAGCTGTCAAACCAAAACAAGGTTAGGTCTTGGACAATTTCATGAAACTCAATGACATCATACTATTTATAGACTACTGTACGTTAACACAATGAAAGAACTTGATATGTTTCAATAAAATTTAGTCAAATGTTGGATAAAATATTAAAAGTATTCAAGATAATTTTACTGTTAGATTACTGTAAATGTTGGATTATCCTTTTTCACAACAAATAAAAGTAATGAAGTATTAAAGTATATACGATAAATTAGATTACAACATAAGTAATTTAGTAAATATAATAGACAAAGAGATGGCAAAAATTAGAGTGAATTATAATTCTTTTTATAATTTCAATACTGCGAGGTCACTCACAAGTCACTTGACTAACTAACAAAAAAAAATATAAGACGCAAAATGGACAACACACTCAATGAGTATAAATATATGTGTAGTGACCGATAAAGTATGCCTGCCTAAAAAAATAACAAATGCTATATTTGTAACAATACTGACTCGCACCTACTTCATTCGATTAGGGTACGTTTACAACACAGTTTGGCTTGGATTTATAGCAGACACTTGTATTGTCAAAACAGCTGATTTGTGAATGTATAAATAACAGCTGTGATTAGTCAATTGATTAACATAACTGCAACTGTTTCGGAATTCAGCCAATAACAGCGCTTGCTCGCTTCTACACTCTTGTTAGTGATATACCTAACGTTTGGGTATCTCTGTATCAATCACTGATACTGATGTTTAAAACAAAACAAAAAAAACATAAAGGCGATTGATGACAATAAAACAGTTCATAAAATTTGTTCTGCATGAGTTTCATAAAAATTTATTCTAATAAATTATAAATTGACAACATATCGCGTATAATTTAAACAATAAATGTTATTTATTAACATTAGTTTTTGTACCTTTAAGTATTATTTTTAATGATTTTTACAAACAAATAAATAAAAACATTAAAAAAAAAAAAAAAAATACATATATGCACGTAGGAACCAATTAACAATGAAATCACCACTTAGTGGTGAACGAATAACATTCTTATTATATTATTGGAAGTATCAGAATATTTTGATTTACACTTAAGGGAGAGCACTTTTTCATCCATACATGGACAATCGAATTTCTTGATCATTTTTAAATTATTCCCTTGCGCGCTCTGGTCAGTGAGGTTTAAAATTTCCAAGTCTTCCGATGGTATAGCAATGAATTTTGTAATATGTAACAACATTTGATTAGGATCTAAAACGATCAAAGGTTCATAAACTTTTAATATAGGTTTTTCATTGATATTCACCAGAGATGAGATTTCAGGCACATTCATAACTGTTATCAAACGATTGGTTTTACTTGGTAGTAAACCATTTAAAACACCCATATTATCGTTAATCACTGAACATTTGAAATACTGATTGCCATTGTTCATTGGTAAATGCTTTATAATTTGAAAAAGAACAAATGATTTGTCAGGAACAATATTTATTTTTTTTTGCAACTGATGTCGCAGTAAATTGACACTTGATCTTTCTTTGGCCATAGCTGTTGTTAATACTTCTAATAAACTACCCCTGGAAATATGAAAAATAAATACTTTAAAATTAAAATCTTCTACTTAATAATCATTAGAAATTATCTCAGAACCCTAAATTAATAGTCTTACTTTTTAGGAATTTTTTTTTTTTTTAGCTTCTCTTCAGCATAGTGTAAAATGTAAGATGTTTTTCCAAAATCTGGTTTTGATTCAAATGTGCTCACTGAGTCTATGGGATCCGTAGAAGTTAAAGTCTCTATAGGAGACTGTTTTATGCTGGTTGCAGTTATCTTATTTGTGTCAACACAATTTTCTTCAACCATTGAATCAGATGATGGACTTGAAATATTTTGTGATAATATCACATGTCTGTCACGACAAGAAGTATCCAAAACCAAGTGTGTACTTAATTCTTCTATGAGATCACTTTCTGTGTTGTCACTTACACTGAGAATTTCTTGTTTAACTACTTGAGAATGATTGTGACTTTTATCTGCACTAGATACAGACTCAATGAGCTGGGAAGTCGGATGTTCAGTGGTTTTGGGTAACTTTGGACTACTGTCATCGCTTTCATTAAATATTTCTAAAGACTCTGAAGGAAAAAAATCATCTACTTCAATTTTGTACTCTGACTTCTTGATATCATCTTTATTGCATTTTTCCCATGTCTCTGCTACACTTGTCGTCTCTAACTTAATGCCAGAAAGCTTAACTTCCTTTGTCTCATTTGTTGTAAATTCTTTCTCTAGTTTTATGCGTTTCCATACTTTTCTGTGACCTCCAATCACTGGTGATGCCAATCTTTTTCCTCCAAGTACAGGTGAAACTTCTGTTGTACATGATGGAACTTGTGGATTCTGTACTCTTGGTGGTGAATTTAGCTGTACAGAATACGATTGGCATCTTTCGTTCAATCTAGATACACTTTGTGCTTTTTCTACATTGCTATTGTAATAGTTAAACAAGTTGCCTTCCAACCAGTACTGAACAAATTGTTTTTTCCTTTCAGGAGTGGTTGTATTTTCTTTAAAATCAGAATGATCATTCATGTTTTCCAAAATTTAACCACATACTTACTAGAAAAAAAGTTTGAAACGAGGAATAAATTAATCATTTTACAATCTTGTTAAACCACTTGTTTCAACAAAATACAAAACGAAAATGTGTGTGTTTGAGTTCTGAGTTCTGAGTCATGATCTGTTCGAAAACCGAAAACCTCACTGTAAGATGCGCGCCACCTTTTTCGAGAGGCCCATCAGTTATTCACGTTAGGTTAGTGAGAATGGTAGAGTGTATTATTATTGACATGATCTTGGTTTGTTGTGATCCACAGAATTAATTTTAATTTAGGTAGTTATTCTTTGTTGTTTTATGATCATTTGCAATCAGAGTATACGGCAAATTTTTTTAACGGATCCATATAATTGTTTTGTCCTGACAAGTCGTCAGTCTTTAACTAAATATTAATTCTGTCGCCGCTTAACCTAAACTATAGTATACGCCACACACCAACGTGTGTTAAAGATTTGTAAATACCGTACAAAAAGTAAATTTTCCTAAATAAAATGAAGCTTTTAACTCACAACATGTTGACTTCAAAATGCTTGAAAGGAGTTACTACAGGATATCCTTTAACAATCGAGGTAATGCAGGTTCCTATTTTTTGTCATGTTATAATCTTTTTCACGCGATAATGTTTTACCTTATGTGAATTTTTTCTTTATTTCCAGGCAAAGGATATCCAAGTTTCTGAAATAGATTTTAATTCTGAGTTCATTGCCAGAATTGTTCCAAAACTTGATTACTCAGCTTTGTACAAAGCTGCTGAGAGTGTAAGTTTCATGCTTTATTTTTTGATCATATATAACATGTAACATTGATATTAATATTAACTTAACAATTAAATTGATAGATTGGGCATGCTGGTGATTTACCACCACAACTAGTTGAAGATTATGAAACGAATGAAGAATTTTTGAAAAAACTTCACCATGCATTGCTTGAAATTGAAATTATAACTGGTGATTTGCTTTGTCCAGAGTCAGGAAGGAAGTTTCCCATTAATGATGGTATCCCAAACATGCTTTTAAATGAAAATGAAGTGTAGGAAAATAGTCATGGTATTTTTAATGTTGAAAATACGTTTCTTTATGTCATTATCCATTTATTAAATAACTTTCGTTATTCTCAATTATTATGAGTTTTTTTGACCAGACAAATTTAATAACTTGAGACATTAGTCATCTGAAAAACGGTGGAACTGAGGTTGTATATTTTTTCTATTAGAGTAAAGTGTAAAAAATACATTATTTAGTGCAGTTTATGTATTTAAATTTAATGAAGGCGATGAATTCTGTATGATTTTTAATAATAACTGTAAAATATGTTGTAAACAACTGTTTTTTTTTTCATCTAGTGCTATACTGCGGAAATGTATTATTACAGGCATTACTATTTTTTTTTTTTTTTAAACTTCGTATCGCAAAATTGCGGTGGGAGGCAGGACTCTGGCGTCCACGGCGCCTTTGCAGAAATTATTTAAGTTAGCATTCAAGTCGTTATTGAACGTGTACTTCGTGCTCAACTGCATCGAAATGAATGGCAGTAAAAAAATAAATAAGGATGAGGGTATTGTCACAGGAATAGATATGAACATGAAGTAGTTAAACTGGATATGTATGAAATTTGATTAAAAAAAATTGTTTTTGTAAGTAATAACTACATTTATGTAAAGGGTAATTTATTGCACATTAAGTTACATTATGTATAAGTCATACACATTATATAGTAGGTTTCCAATGCACGCTGAATTTATTGCTAATAATATGGAACGATTGTAGCTGCTTTTTTACTAGCTAAAATTTTACTGTCTAGGAATTTATTTTAGTTTAACTTTTGTTACCTGTACTATGGTTATACATAAAAATAATTTGTTCCTCAACTTTGGATTAATTACATTAACTATCCCTACACAACTTCTTCCAAATGACAATTGAACACAAGGTGTCTTAATTCTAATTTTGTTGAATGAGACGATACAAAGCTTCAATATTTTTCAGATTGTTACATTAAACCAATCAACTTGTGATCGGTTTGGTTTAAGAAGTTGGATGAGTTGAAAATTCAGCTATATGATTTTAAATGTATTTTCTGCTGCTACTACTACAGTAACTGATTATATAGGAAAAATTTTTCAATGGACGCATCTGATCACTTGCAATTGCAAATCTCTAGTTTCAAAATGTGTCAAAATATATATATATATATATATTTTTTTTTTATCCTTCTGAGTTATTTCGAGAGTTAAAAAGCTATAAAAATAACTCATCTCATTAACCACAGCCTATTCTTTTATTTTTTTCTCATTATTCACATTTATCATAAACTTACTTTAAAGGCAGGATTATTTCTGAAGCTATATGAAAATATTTCTGTACTAAATTTACAAATGGCATACACAATTCTTTATTTTTTACAGGAGATGCATAAGTACATCTTTAATTTCATGTTGTAGGTGAAAAAAAAAACTTCATTTTGATTACCATATATTACGGTATTTACACATATAAACCAAAAGGTTTATTCATAATTAATTGCTGTTCATATGCAGAATGTGGAATTTATCAAAAGAATTGATTTCTTTCTTAAAGCAAGTGAAATATTTTTGTATTAATGTAGTTTGATTCTTGGGATGGTCATGCTCATTTTGCAAAAATAGTGGCTGTAACTTGTATTTTGTTTTAGTAAAACTAAACTTCCAAAGAAATAAAAACTAAGTGTTTTCTGTAACAGGTTAATGACTTTCAGATACACAGAGTAACTTTTCACAGAAAAAATCCATTTCTAAGTTTTTATTACTTTCCCCCCCTGTTAAACATTACTTTGTAAGAAAAATATTTTCTAACTTTATTTTTAACCTATAAATTTATCATATCTAATTACTTCGAAATGAAACAAACAGACACATTCACTATAATGTGTTCTAAAAAATTGAGTTTGGCCGCTGCACAATACTAATGTCCAACCTTCCTTAATACTGTTTTCTATTACTGTCACTTCATTAGTATTATGATAGTAATTTTTGTAAAATAGAAACGATAATGCGTGCGTTATAATTAATTCATGGTGTAAAATTAAAAAAAAAAAAAAGACAAGTGTAAAATGTAAGATGTTTTTCCAAAATCTGGTTTTGATTCAAATGTGCTCACTGAGTCTATGGGATCCGTAGAAGTTAAAGTCTCTATAGGAGACTGTTTTATGCTGGTTGCAGTTATCTTATTTGTGTCAACACAATTTTCTTCAACCATTGAATCAGATGATGGACTTGAAATATTTTGTGATAATATCACATGTCTGTCACGACAAGAAGTATCCAAAACCAAGNGTTAATTCCAATATATATTTCAAATATCTATAAAAAAACATCAACCTTGGAAATAATTGCAATCGTTAATGAGATATGTTTTTAAGAATCGCAAAGGAAGAGTTTAATCGACTGAATCGATTTCAAGTTCTTACCATTACATGAATAGGTAACCATAATTATCTAATTGAGAACAAATTTTTCTTAAGAACAATCCAATATTATTACGAAATAATATTGAATTTTCAAACTTTACAATCACAATACTTGATAATACTGTTTCAGTGGAATAATTCAATTTCAGTAAGAATTATCATGATTCTGTAAACTGAATAGTACCAAAAAATTCAGCTTTAAAAATTTTTAAATTAATCACAACAATTTAAATTCAACAAAAACATATAAAAAATATTTTTATTTGCTAAAACTAAACAAAAATAATTAAAAAATAAAAAAAAACTCATCAACTAGAAAAAACAACTGCACCTGTTTCATTTTCCTCGACATTCAATAGCAGTAATATTTCGTTGAGAGTAAATTGAACCTTGAGCTAATCCCCTAAGAGGACCCTTACGGAGTTCCAAATTTGGGCCCTTTGCAAGATTCAAACTACCTCTGACTAAAGATGGGTTACGCCCTGCAGTTAAAATTTTACCATATATATTTTTAACTAACAATGATGGATCTGGTCCTGACCATGGTGCGTAATCAGGTCTGCAATTATAATAGTAGTTGTAATTCATCAAGTACAAAATATCGTTATCATAAAGAATTTTCAAATAAGCATGTAAAATAAAGAAAGTTTTACAAATAAAGAACTTACAATAGCAACTCGTTATTGGCACCTTTTGGCAAGTCTGCATTGGGGCCCGTTGGCCTTGTTAAATAAATTGATTTGTGATCATTGTCTTCAGCAGTACTCGTGCCTCGTGATACTCTGAAAATATCGTTCAATTAAATAAGCTTCAAATATGACATGCTCCTTCAATTGAAAATTTATTTAAAATATCATCAAACTTACTTCGGAACGTCGCTTTTAGTTTTCGGCCGTTTAGATTTTTCAATATCCGATTCTTTGGCAATTCGTTTAATAGGAGAATAACTTAATTTAAGTGCTTCTGTTACTGGAGGGCTGTCTTTTCTATCTTCACTTTTAGTACTACTGTAACGGTAGCGACATATACGTGAGAAACAACAGTAATAAACAAAATTCATTTTGTCGTTTAGCAATAATATGTATAAAATGTATGCAAACCTTTGACTACTGGACGTTCTAAGTGGCTTTATAGCTTCCTCTGCAACCATTATGTCTAAAATATGTGCTGCACGCTCTTCATCATAATCGACGCTATCCATAGCTAACAAAATAACTTTTTCTGGCACTTCTTTAAACTTGTCCATCAGATGTAGTTTCACTGTTGATAATATATAGTAAATTATTTTGTTGAAAATAACAAGTTTAAATTATCAATGACCTATCATATCAAATTTTACTTTTATTTTTTTCTTCCATACTTTTCATTCGCGGCGGTGGAGTAGGAGCAGGTGGAGTTATTTGAATCTGAAACAAATAACGTAATTCATTGCTACGTTCGAACAATAGCATAAAACGTGCTCTTTAATTTTTATCACTTTTTCTTCCTCATCCACTTCTTTTTTCTTAATTGACGATCTGGACGGCGCAGTTGGACAACGCTTTTCGTATCCAAGCTCAAGCAGCTTATCAGTTGCCTTTTGGACGTTATTTTCGCACTGTTCCAAGTTATCGAGAAGTATATACTCGTCGACTGTAGGAAACACATTTTTCAGGTACCTGCAAAATCAATGCATTCATTATTTCACGAGCACGATTTATGCAGAATGGCATTTATAAATTAATTTTGCAAGTCAAACTCGGATTATATTTAATGTTAAATACTGTCATACAATATACTTCTATATAGACCTTACACATACACCAGCAAGCTTATGTGCAAAAGTGAAGAATGCGTGATGAAAAAAAAAAAAAAATGTTTCTCTAAGAATCAATTCATTAAGGCACTCTTGTAAACATAAAGGCATCAACTAACCTATCTACAATTTCAGTAATTGATACCACTCAACACGACATGACATGTAAGGTATTGAAAACCGGGATGAAACTGAAAAAAATGGGGGTGAAAATAAAATAAATTAGGTAAACGTAAAAATAAAATTTTTCTTGCAATCTATGGAGATTGAAGTAAATGTGGGTAACTTAAATTTTAGGTTTTCTTTTCTCTGAAAGCTACAATTTAAAATATTGTATTTTATGAATCGCTCTAAATTTTAATTGACAACTAAAATCATTTTAAAGTCAAAAGTATTCAAGTAGTATCATTGATATACACAAGTGAAAAACAATAGTTGCATAAAAAGTTCGTATTTCTTTAAGAAGAAATGAAGGTGGATAACCAACATAAATAAAATATCAAAGGAATTCAATCAACATAGGTACAATATTTTATAAATAAAGATCTTATAAACGATAAACATGCATAGTTGTAGATTATAATTTCTAAATTTTAAAATATCAATGCATTCTCTTTTGAGTATACCAAATTGGGACTATGATTAAATATTTTTCCCAATGTATCTTTGTGACTGTAAAATGTTTTCCGATATGTTAATTCATTTTCATGATTTTTTTGACAAAATCACGAAAACCTTTTTTTTTTTTTCATCAGAAAACATTACTTACTAATTTAATTACTTCATTTTTTTCAAGTAAAGATAATATATGCAATTTCAACATCTAGCATCCAACTACTAGTTTTGACACTTGTTAAGAATAAAGTGAACCTAAGTTTCATTTTTGGGGAGTGTGGGGCTGGTCGTATGCCCCTAGGTGGACTCAGTGTGAGTGCTGCATGAAGCGCATGATGAGGAAGTCTCCATCTTGGTATCGCATAACTTGAGTAAACACCTATTGGTGTACAGGGTCCTGGTTGACAAAGAGGATTCTTCTCAACTTGTAGTGCACTCACAACCAGAGCTGGTCTGTTATGGTATCTGAAATAGATCAGCTGAAAGCTTAGCACATGGCAGGGGGGACTGAAATTTTCTTTGCAATGATAAAAAATAAATCGAAAACCACGTATTTGTTTTTCAAAATTTTTTTCCTTGAGAAAAGTAATTAAATGAGTATTGATTTTTCAGAAGTGAAAAAATTACCTATTCCTAACTTTTGATGTGCAATTGAAGGTAAGAAGCTCAAAATTACATTTATTTACTTGACACGAGGAAAAAAAAAAAAAAAATGTTATAACTCAAACATTAAATACTTAATTGAAGCAAAAAGTAGTCACCAGAAGACAGATTAGAAAAATTGCATAAGCTCTATTTTTGTTAGTATTAATCGAAACTAAGTTTCAGATATACTAGGAAATTGAGTACTTACTTTTTTAACAGCAGCCTAATGTGTGTATCAGATACTGTAGGAAAAATGGCGTTAATTTTAGCCACCTGTAACTCTACATCATTGTTTTGCATCAAGCTAGATTCAAAATTTCTAATAGGAGTAGGAGATCCAATGGTCATGTCGCCAAGTCTGTTTGTCAAGCCACTTACGGATCTCGTAGTTGATAACGGTGTTTTAAGGTCCTATAAAAAATAACATCATGATTTAAAATATGCTTTGATTGAAATACTTTTCTTCAAACACATACAACCAGATACTTTTATTAACATGGAAATAAGATTATTTACAAAGTAGCCTCAAACCCACCTGCCAATTTGGAGGTAAAAATGCAGGCTGTGGGTTACAGTAGGAAGGAGTTGGGTAGACTTGTGGAGCTCTGTGAGCTCCAGAATAGACTATATGTCCAGTTGTGCTATTTCCACTTGTCTGTTATCATATTATTAAATACGATAATTCCACAGAAATGCAGCGTGCAAATTTTAGGAGTGATCAAAGAGATTTTTTTTTTCCCCAAAGAGACATATTAGTAGTGTTTTATATACATATGTGCATAATAGTTGAGCATTTTATTGTACATGATACTTAAAAAAGAAGCATACACTTGAAAAAAAATAAACATGCAAGTTGAATTCATTGAGGGGCACTTTTATAGGTAGAAAAGTTAAAAGACATTGGATTAGGATGTATACTGTTTACATACTCAAAAGTATAAAATAAAAGGAAAAAAAAAACATAACGTTGAAAAAAAAAAAAAAAAAAAAAAAAAAAAAAAAAAAAAAAAAAAAAAAGCTGCTAAAAACACACAAATCGCTTTGCTTGTACCTACGTATACTTCCAACGATGAGAAAAGGACGCAAAAAAGGAGTGTTTAGCAGCGTCGGCTCGCGAGGGGGAGGGATATGAAATTTGNAAAAAAAAAATGTAGGGTATATTATGCACGAAATTCAAAGTCACCTGAAGAGGTATGGAATCACTCGGATGATCAGTAATCCCAGAGCTTGGAGTTGTTGAATTTTGCGACTGTAAGTACTGCGCATACTGCCAATAACGCACTCGCGGGTCTTCCCAAGTTGTTGATCGGTTGAAATGATTAATGAAATACCTGATGTAAGAAAAAAAAAAAAAAGAAAACAAACGTCACGTTTAAATCCAGCCTCGGCGTAGGTACTTGAAAGTATTCCAGATTTAGCTACAAATATATAGTACAGGTGTCAAGGGCTAACAAGTGGGAACGCAGGTGGCAATGATTGTACATAGGTATTGTCGGAGCGCTCAATGGCGTCTATAAAAAGAGCCGATGGATATCGAAATAGATGATCCATGCAAGTGTATATATATATATACTAACGCGCGGCCGCTTTTTCCGTCGTATCTGCACTCCCAACCGGGTGGTAATTGATTCCTCTCGGTTTGTTCCGCCATTTTCGCCCTATTTTTGACAACTCTCGCACGATCCGGCCCCTCCGAGAAATCCGAGACGAGAGGCCTGTACCACGAGATGAGGGCCGACTTCTTGGCGCGCACTTCTAGCTGCCAGGCAGCTCAGGAACAGGTGCTCGATATCACAGCATCAGCATCTTTGCGAGCAATATTTACCGGTTCTGCACCTGATACCCAAGTTTACACACCTCCGAAATGACGCCCTTGATAATATTCGCAATAATCAGGACACTTCCTCCAGAGTCTAACCAGAGATCACTGCAACTACACTAAACACGCTTACATTTTGCGCAGGAGCTCGAACTCGAATCTCGGATAACTTACCTACTTATATATAGGGTATTTATAGAAGGGGGGCACGCACAAAACACATATAGCACACGTCAGCTCGATAAAAAGCAAGGCAAAGCAGACGACTGTTTTGGTTTTGCGGTAAGGGTTGAGGGTTGAGGGTGCAGGTCGAGGGTTGTTCGGTTTGTTGTCGGTGCACCTGTTATTGTAGGTAAGCTAGTATGATTTACCTGAGGTAGATTGGTAAGGTAGGGATTTTTGTTACAGCTGTCGAGGCACTTGGAACCTACAAAAAAATTAAATTTAGTTTAAACTTGCGCGTAATTCGCGTAAACGTCTTATTTTTGCGTTAGTATAAGTACTTTGCAAATAAGACAGAAAAATCAAAACTATAATTTTTATTTGATTTTATTTTTAACTCAAAAGAAGTTGTGCGGGGACTGTCTGAATCATAAAGATATCATAAATATATTTTGACGAAAAAAAATTTAGCTAAAAAATTGTACTGTGGGACGACATATCAGCATACCTGGTTCAAAAATGAGATGAAGAGTATTTTATTTAGTTTATTCAAATATTTACATAATTTTGATTAATCTTTGGAAATTTTCATATCGACCAAAAAAAATTGATACCTTCGAGAGAATTAAAAATATTTCATTGTTTTTACCTCGAAAAAAAAAATACTGTTTACACTCAAATATGTACATACTTCAATCGGAATTTAACACTGTCTAAAAGGAAATCGACAAAAAAAATTCATGTATAGTACTTATTCAATAAAAAGCAACATATTTCAACAATGATCTCATAAATAAAAGTACAGGCATGTATATGTTGATAATTTTCATATATGATCGTTTCATGTAATAAGTATATCTTATTATGTACAACAAAAGTGCGCTTGAAGCGCGAAAATTTTTAATTTATATTTACAAGATGATTTTTGTTTTATTTATATGCATTTGTATACATATTGGCGAAAGTAACACAGGTATACGAGATATAAACTCTTTTCTTTAGAACGCAACCACTTTCGATGATTTTTATGCTTTCTTTATTCTGCTATTGAATCGACTTTCTTTTTAAGCTGTCAATGAAGCACTATACGTACATCATACATATGTATAACTTTTCTTTCTTTTATTATGTAATACCTGATTATTATTTTTTTTTTTTCCTTATAAATAATCAAACAAAATTTTTCACCCTGCTAGCGTCTGTTAAAATTCCAACTGCTGATCTCTCCCAGATGCGTATTCTTTGATTTTATGCATACAAGAAAAATTAAAGAAATTAATCGCTATGAAGGATACGTTTTTAGTGTAATCGGTCGGTCATCGTTTTGATTCCTCTAGTATATATATCTACATGCATAGTGAATATAGATGTACTTTCTTGAGGCATGGAACCGACCGACCAAAAATACGTACCCAAAGGAATTATATAGCTGAAATTGGGAAAATTGTTTTCATCTACTGATTGTTCATAACAGAATAGTGAGACAGCTGCACGTTACTTCGCTGCGCATTTTATTGTTCTGTGTTGAAAATAAATTATTATGCATGTAAAATTTAACAACTTGTAATTAATTGTAAATAAAACTTTGAAAAACTGTACTATTTGTAGTCATATTGCGTTTTTTAGTTTATATTGTTTAAATAAAACAATGAAAATCATCTGTTCCTAAAAAATTTAAAGACAAGCATGAAAAATATGAAATTCATCGTTTTTCTACTTATCCTAGAAAAAATATGCTTTGCACAATTTTTTACATAATTTATACACTGAATAATCGAGAGATTATGTTTTATGATTTACAACAAATATGCAATATATGAATACCTCAAATTTATTAGTATTCCGTTACAATCAAAAAATACATTTAATATATTCTTTTGTACACAAACAACTTCGACACATCAGTAAAAAACAAATAAACGTACCTCTTTCATTAAATAACGATATTAAAAATAAAATCCGTCCAATGTGTTTGTAATAAAATCCATTAGCCGTAGTTAAGGACGAATTCATAGTCGAATCAAGGACTTAATTAAGGGATATCAATTCTGTTGGATTCGACTATAAACTCAGGCTTTGTACTCCTCATAGCGACAGTCGATATTCTTTATGTTCTATCTATTTATCTTCAACAAGAAATAATAGTAAAGAAGATGATTAAAGCTGCGCTATCCTTCAAATACATGCATCTATGCATATCAAGGTAAGAAAAGAAGCGATTGCTTATTGTCAGCTATGCTTTCTTACACTCTGAATTTTTTTTTTTTTTTTTTTTGTAAATGTTTTTCTATATCATGCCGAATATTACACTTTTTTTTGTAAAACTCGAATTATCGGTCCTCAAGTGATTTGCTGGACTGACTTCAACTTTGAACGTAACGAAGTTATGCCGCTCTTTTGGTAAAGTATAAACAGATAAATAAATATCATCATTAAAATATAAGTAAATAATTACAATACATCTATGTCGAATAAAATTATGCAGAGCGTATACACTTTTTACACTGTGCAATTAAAATGGAGAACAATATATAACGACCATCAATAGATTCTTGTGAGCAATAAAAAGTGTAATTAGTAAAATTAAAATATATACTGATTAGAAAAATATTTCTAAACTTGATTTCCTTAAAGCATAATTACAAGCTTATAATATTTAATTTTATTTTCAATGTACAATAATATATTATACATATCAAAATAGGAATGTTTTTGTGCATTTTAGTGTACAATGATTGATTGTTAAAAAAAAAAACTATTTTCATTTTGCTGTTCAATAGTTTTTTTAAATAAAAA